TGTTGAGAGGCATTTCCTGAGGCCATGACTAATTTGTCTTCTTCTTACTATGAGGCTAAGAAATTGATGAACAAATTGGAATTGGGTTATGAAAAGATCGATACTTGCCCTAATGATTGTACTCTTTATTGGGGTACTATTGAAAAAGAATTTCATGTGAAACATGTAAAGAGCTTAGGTGGGTTGCCTCAGAAAATGATCCAACTGGTGAAAAAAGAAAAATTCCTCATAAGCATTTTCCCATAAAAGTTAGGTTGCAAAGACTCTTTATTTCTTCTAAATTTGCATCTCATGAATAAAATCGTACAAAAGATGGTTATATGAGACATCTAGTTGATTCTTCAGTTTGGCAAACTTTTGATCATCTACATCAAAAATTTGCCAAGGATTGTCAAAATATTAGACTGGGATTAGCATCTAACTGGTTTAATCCATTCAAAAATATGAATACTTCACATAGTACTTGACTTGTGATTTTAATACCATATAACTTATCTCCATGGATATGTATGAAGCAACCATACTTCATGATATCTTTGTTAATAGTTGGACTATTCTCTTCTAGAAATAATATTGGTGTTTATCTATAGCCTCTAATTAAAGAATTGATAGAATTGTGGGATACTAGCATTCAAACTTATGATGCATCAAAAAAAATAAAATTTTCAATTGCATGCAACCTTGTTGTGGACTATTAGTGATTTTTCAAGATATGCAATGCTATCTGGGTAGAGCACTAAAGGCAAATATGCTTGTCCTCTTTGTCACAAATTCACCCATTCACGATGATTGATTCGTAGTTTCAAATATTGTTACATGGGGCATCACAGATTCTTAGATAGTAAGCATGAGTTTAGAAAGCAAGCTCAATTCTTTGATGGCATCGAAGAATATGGAATGTGACCACCTTTGCAAACTGGGGATATGATTTTGAGTGAGTTGGGAGATTTGCAAATTAAATTTGGCAAATTCGTAAAAGGTAATCCTAAGCTACCTTTTAATTGGAAGAAAAGGATTATTTTCTTTGACTTACCATACTGGAAAGATAATATCTTTCGACATAATCTTGACTTCTTGCATATTAAGAAGAATGTTTGTGAAAAAATTTGGGATACTAGCATTCAAACTTATGATGCATCAAAAAAAATAAAATTTTCAATTGCATGCAACCTTGTTGTGGACTATTAGTGATTTTTCAAGATATGCAATGCTATCTGGGTAGAGCACTAAAGGCAAATATGCTTGTCCTCTTTGTCACAAATTCACCCATTCACGATGATTGATTCGTAGTTTCAAATATTGTTACATGGGGCATCACAGATTCTTAGATAGTAAGCATGAGTTTAGAAAGCAAGCTCAATTCTTTGATGGCATCGAAGAATATGGAATGCGACCACCTTTGCAAACTGGGGATATGATTTTGAGTGAGTTGGGAGATTTGCAAATTAAATTTGGCAAATTCGTAAAAGGTAATCCTAAGCTACCTTTTAATTGGAAGAAAAGGATTATTTTCTTTGACTTACCATACTGGAAAGATAATATCTTTCGACATAATCTTGACTTCTTGCATATTAAGAAGAATGTTTGTGAAAAAATTTGGGGAACATTGTTGGATATTGAGGATAAGGCTAAGGACCATTATAATTCATGCTGTGTTTTGAAAGAAATGGGGATAAGGAAAGATTTGCATCCCATTGACATAGAAGCTGGAAAGGTTTACTTGCCTCCATCTTCCTTTATAATGGATAAAAATCAGAAAACTATATTTTGTAAGGTTCTTAAAAAGGTAAATGTGCCAGATGGTTATGCAGCTAACATTTCAAGATGTCTGCAAGTAAAATCACCTAAAATTTCAGGACTTAAAAGTCATGACAATCATATCCTAATCCAACAACTATTGCCCATAGATTCGAGAAAGATTTTACCAAAACCTGTGCGCTTTTCCTTTGATTTGGTTGAGTAAATACTTCAGGCAGCTTTATTCTAAAATGATCTGCTTACAAGATGTGGTATGTTTGGAAAAGGATATTGTAGTTATACTCTGTCAATTGGAGAAATATTTTTCACCGAAATTCTTTGACATCATGGTGCATTTGACTATTTATTTATCGATTAAAGTGAAGTTAGGTAGACCATTGCATTATCGTTGGATATACCCCATTGAAAGGTAATATTTGAAATTTTCATTATGCTTTAAATTTTTTTGTTGCTTTTCGATTTCTTTGATATTGGAAACTATTCATTAAACCTGAAACTATGATAATTTAGGTATTTGAGAACATTGAATTCTTATGTTCAAAATAAAAATAGGCTTGAAGGTTTTGTTGCTCAAGGCTACTTAGCAGAAGAATGTTTGAATTTTTGCTCCTTATATCTAATAGACTATATTGAGACGAAATTCAATTGTCCAAGGAGAAATAAAGAAGTGAACCAGAAAAATGAAGTTGGATTAGATATATTCTCAGAACCAAGCCATTCTTTGGGTAAAGGCAAGCCAACAGTTTTTGATGCTTAAACGTTGAATAAAGCACATCAGTATGTCTTGTTCAGTTGTGATTTTGTCACACCTTACATTGACTAAGTTTAACTAGGGCTTGATGCATAAATTTTTTTCGATAGTAGATGTAATGTTGTAATGTTATATTATACACTTCCAGGCAGCACTGCAAATTGGTCAAAGAAGGTCATCCTCAAGCTGTGCAACATCTATTGGAGCGTTTACATAGTGAAAATTTTGCTTCTTGGTTTGTTGGACATGTAAGTAATAGTTTGGTGAATTTATTAACTAATGCATTTGAATTCTTAGTATTCCAATATCTTTTTATCTTTTCTTTTATAGATTGAAAAGTTAGAACTTTCTCAGAGCTAGCCTTAAGAGATCTAAGGTTCCTTGCTAAGGGTCCAGATGTTGTTGGAATTTGATATGACAAGTATATTGTTAATGATTTTTGGCTTCATACCAAAGAAGTTGAAAAGAAAAGAAAAACTCAAAATAGTGGTATTGCTGTCAAGTTAATAATATCCAGTTTTGCAAGTATAAGGGACCAAAATCCTATTTTGAGTGAACTAGTTTACTATGGTGTCTTGAAAAATATAATTGAGTTAATTTATTGAGGTTGTTGGGCGGTATTATTTGAATGTGATTGGATATCGAATAGAAATAGATTGAAATAGGATGTTGATGGGTTAATACTGGTTAATTTTACAAATGTAAGGCCTTATAATGAACCTTTTATACTTGCTTTACAAGCATCACAAGTATTTTATGTGGAAGACCCAACTGATAAGAATTGGCAAGTTGTTATTTCTACCACTACAAGAGTTGGATACAACATGGAGACTCTTATAGGTGTTAAGACACATTTGCAAAGTGATGTTGGCAATCCAGTTTTTTTTTTTTCCTAATGGAGTGGGTGTCCAGGTCAATCCTTACGGGGCCTGACTAATCCCACTCCGGCCCGGAAGGAGAGGCCCCATCCCCCCGAACATGTTAACCACGGGACTCGAATCCTTGCGGGAGACTGGACAACGGCCTTAAGGAAGCAACCGTGACCAAATGAGCTGCCCTGTGAGGGGCGTTGGCAATCTAGTTATTGACAATGAAAATAAGGAAATTGGTTAGGTTCGTGATGATGCACCTAGGATTGAAGTTGATTTGACTCGATATTACCTAGTTTAGTATCATAGTTGAGAGAAAGTAGTTTCAGATTTTTATTGTTTCTTTTTTGGCCTCTGTAAAGAATAATCTTATCTTATATGGGAATGACCGAACCCCAATACCCGCCATGGCTTAGGGTAGGGAACGATAAGCAGCGTTCCTCCGGTCAGCAACAGTTTGGCAAAACCAGAACTCCCGCTGGGGGAGAGTTCCAATCCCACACCACCGCTGATGGAGCCTTGAAAGGCAAGGAGTCTTCTTTGGTTATGACTCCAGCAGACCGCATGTCAAAAAATGGTACTGGGGACGCTCCTCATGATCTCTCCATGCTATTGGATTCAAATCAAATCTTACTGGATGATGATCGGGCTCAATCTATCCCAACAAACGGGCATTCTCGGGCCCCAGGTAGACCAAGAGTAATAGGGAGAGAGTCCGAAGCTTTCGGTGAGGGTGTGCCCCCTCCTAGTACTGCGAGGTGCTCCACCCCGCTCCAACAGATTGCTAATTCCTTATCTGCCCCCTCAAACATGCTACCCGAGGTGCCCATACTATCCAAAGCTACAACCTCCCCGAACAAAATGGAAGCAACACCTCCAAACCTTGTATCACTCACGAACCCTCATCCTTCAACCTCTCAACCAGCCCAATCGATTACAACCTCGACTATCTCTCTCTTAGCCAATACAATGTCTTCCCCTAGAACCACTAACCAATATACTCCATCCCCAACCCAGGTTGTTTTGACCCATCACACTCAGCCTTCCAACCCCGACCCCAGAAAACAAGATGTCACATCCCTTTCCGCTAGGCAAAATCACCACAAAACCTCTGTGCCAATTCTTCAAGTTTCAACCGTCACCCTTCTGGATAGCCCGACACGTGATATCCTACAGGGGGACAACAAAACCCCCCGAACACCTGACCAGTTCCACCTCAACCCTGACCCTATTACGTCCAAACCCGTTCTACCAAACATACCTTCCGAAATAAATCTCTCGACCAATAATCCGGTCTCACCTGATCTTTTCCTAGTTGATGCCACTCTATTACAGCAGAGGACGACCACTGACCTCCAGGGCATTCGCTCTATTGCTAGCTCAGTAAGACAGAAGCAAAGCAAAGCCATCCGTAAACCTTTGAAGTCGAGCCCCTCACAGGCATCACGCTACGGTTCTCTACTCAGCCATATAGCTCAGCGCAGCGACAAACACGCCAGGCCAGCTGATATGGATATAGAGGATACAATAGACTCTAAGAGACGCAAGCTAGGAGTCTCAGCTACTTTTACTCCTGCAAACAATGAAACAGCGGAGACTGGTGCCCAGTCCCGCCGAGAGCCATGAATCTCCTAAGTTGGAACTGTCGGGGGTTAAATAATTCCCGTACAGTTCGAGAACTCCGGCATATTGTCCGGAGAGAAAAAATTGATATTGTTTTCCTGGTAGAAACTAAGTGTTCTAGTAGGGCCGTTGACAAACTGAAAGTGCAATTTGGATGGTTTGGAATGGGAGTAGATGCCAAGGGTCTCTTTGGTGGTCTAGCTCTCTTATGGAGAAAGGACATCGACATATCTTTGAATCGGTTCTCTAGTAGCTTCATTGATGTCACCGTACGAACCGATGGTTCCCCTTGGCGCCTTACCGGTTTTTATGGGCATCCTGAAGCTGCTAAAAGGAAGTTGTCATGGGACCTGTTACGCACTCTCAGTGGTCAATCTACACTCCCATGGGTGTGTATGGGTGACTTTAATGAGGTGCTAAATCAATGTGAATTTCACAGCAGAACTGGCCTGAGGCAGAACTGGCAAATCATGAATTTTCGAAAGGTACTGTCAGACTGCCATCTTTATGACTTAGGTTGTAAAGGGTTTCAGTTCACTTGGTGTCATGGTCAACATACACCGAACACGATCCGGGCCAGATTGAATCGTGCATGCGCTACTCAGGAGGCGGTTGATCTGTTTCCAGGAGTTGAGGTATCCCATGTTCATGCCTTATACTCAGATCACACCCCCATTGTCGTGAATCTGTCAAAATCAGCTCGTCTCTCCCAGCACCCAAAACCATCTGCACGAAGGAGGAAGTGCTTTATGTTTGAGGCTATGTGGATAAAAGCTACTGACTGTGCTGATATCATCAAGCAAACATGGGATAGTGTTTCAGCTACTAATGCGGGTGATAATCTGCTGTCTAAAATGGATGCATGTCGTATCGGCCTTTTGACCTGGAGTAAGCAGAAGTATGGGAATTGTTGCAGAAGAGCTGATGAACTAAGGGCCAAGATTGCTCAGTTGCAATAGGGTGTTCTCACTAACGCTATTAAAGCAGAGATTGGTTCTCTAACCAGTCTATTAGAAGACATCCTTGATCGTGAAAATTTGATGTGGAAGCAAAGAAGTAAGGTTCATTGGTTTCATGAAGGGGATCGTAATACGGCTTTCTTTCACTCCCAGGCAACCAAGCGCATGAAACACAATCACATTGACGGGCTCTACAATAAACTGGGGCTCTGGTGCCAATCGCATGAGGACCTGGAGGCTATCATTCTTGATTATTTTGGCACAATCTTTTCTACTTCTTGACCTTCTCCGGAGGCGACTGATGCTGTTCTTGAAAGGGTGAGACAAAGGGTGACTAAGCAAATGAATGACTCACTTCTGCGAACCTACCATCCTATTGAGGTGACACAGGCTCTGGCGCAGATGCACCCACTCAAATCCCCAGGCCCTGATGGTATGTCCCCAATTTTTTATCAAAAGTTCTGGCATATTATAGGACAAGATATTATTCGTTGGGTCCTCTCCTTTCTTAATAACGGTCTTTTTGATGAGCGTATTAACTACACCTACATAGTCCTCATTCCCAAATGCCCTGACGCATCCGATATTTCTCATTTCCGTCCCATTAGTCTGTGTAACGTAGTTTACAGATTAGCTTCTAAGGTTATTGCTGCTAGATTTAGTAATGTTCTAGGGAGAATCCTCTCTCCCTATCAATCAGTTTTCCTACCAGGGCGTTTTATTACTGACAACATTCTCATTGCCTTTGAGATCAATCATTCCCTAAAGCTAAAGACTGATGGCAAGGAAGGATCCATGTCTATCAAACTGGACATGAGCAAAGCTTTTGACAAGGTTGAATGGTCTTTTCTCTGGGAAATGCTGTTAGCCCTAGGCTTTCATCTTGATTTTGTTAATCTTCTCTATCGATGTATTTCCACAGTTTCATACTCTTTCCTCCTCAATGGCCAGCAGTTTGGTCATCTAAAGCCCCAACGTGGCATTCGGCAAGGGGACCCTCTCTCTCCTTACCTATTTCTCATTTGTGCAGAGGCTTTTTCTTGTTTGTTACAGGAGGCAGAACGCTGTGGTAACATTTCTGGGGTCCAAGCAGGAGCTGATGGACCAAGGATTTCTCACTTTTTGTTTGCAGATGACATCTTGTTGTTCGGCAAAGCAACGCTCCGTGAGGCTCAGCATATCAAGTCCATCTTGCAACTTTACAAATATGCATCTGGACAGGAAATAAACTTGGACAAATCTGCTATAGTTTTTAGCAGAAATACTAGCTCCGAGGTGAGGCAGAGCATTACTAACTTTCTTGGCATCAGAGAGACTGCAGCACATGACAAATATCTGGGTCTCCCAACAGTCATTGGTTGCTCCAAAAGGGCAGTTTTCTCATCAATCAAAGATAGAATATGGCGAAAGATCCATGGCTGGAATGAGCAGCGGTTGTCAAGGGCAGGAAAGGAAGTACTGATCAAGGCTGTAGTCCAGGCTATCCCAACGTACTCTATGTCTTGTTTCAAATTCCCAGACTCCCTACTTGGAGAGATTCAGTCAATGATAAGTGACTTTTGGTAGGGTGATGGAAAAACAGGAAGACCTATTCATTGGGTTAGCTAGGACAAGCTTTGCACCAGTAAAACAGACGGAGGAATGGGGTTCAGGCAGCTTAAGTCTTTTAATCTCGCGTTGCTAGCAAAGCAGGCTTGGCGCATTGCAACACAAACCTCCACACTTCTACATCACGTCTATAAAGCTAAATACTTCCCCAACTCTGATTTCTTTCAGGCAACTGAAGGTTCACGCCCCTCCTGGACCTGGAGAGGAATCTGTGGAGTGCGTAAATATATAGTTGCTGGTAGCCGATGGCGGGTCGGGGATGGAACCAACATCAAAATCTGGCATGACCGGTGGCTACCTCGTCCTTCTACTTTTAAAGTGATATCTCACTCAACTTTATTGCCTGATGACTCTACTGTAGCTTGCTTAATTGACGGTGCTACAAGAGCTTGGGATTTGGATCTTTTGCACGACCTTTTCTGGCCAGACGAAGTTGACTTGATTAAGAGTATTCCAATAGGAGACTCTCATAACCCAGATAAACTTATCTGGCATTACACAACAAATGGTTTCTTCACTGTCAAATCGGCCTACCACCTGATCAAACAACAATCCCAGGACTGGCAGAATGTAGCTTCGTGCAGCAATAGTATGGGGACGAATACATGGGGGAGATTATGGAAGTTGAGTCTGCCAACCAAAATTAAAATTTTTCTATGGAGATGTTGCACGGACACTTTGCCAACCAAAGTCAAGCTTCACACACGAGGAGTATTGCTGGAGACATCCTGTGTTATTTGTAGCGCCCCATCTGATGACATGAATCACACCTTCCTTTCTTGTCCAGTGGCTATTCAATCGTGGGCACTCAGCCATTTATCTACAAAAGTTCGATTGAATAAGGCCCAGCAAGTCACAATTTGGCTTCCGAATCTCCTACATCATCTACCACGAGAAGACATGGAACTGGTGGCTATCATACTGTGGAATCTCTGGAATAATCGTAATGGAGCTACCTTTGCTGGTTCCTATAGAGACCCCCTTAGCCTGGCTTCACTTTCAATGAATTTTTTGCATCAATATCGTGATGCTATTTCAAACCCAACACACGGGTCAATAACCTCTACCCACTACCAAGCCACTCGAACGCATTAGACTAAGCCTCGGATGGGTTTTGTCAAAGCAAACTTTGACGGGGCCATCTTTCCGTCAGAAGGTTTCTCTGGTATTGGGGTGGTAGTGCGTGATGACGCAGGCAATTTCATAGCGGGGTTGACGAAGAAGATCCCCGGTGTTTTGGCCCCTGACGTGATTGAAGCGTATGCTGCAAAATTTGGAACGAAACTGCTGGTTGAGCTGGGCTATAGTCACGTGGCTCTTGAAGGTGACAACCTCAAGGTTATCAAAATGCTCCAGCTTTGTGACTCTGATGATTCGGCATGTGGCGTATTGGTCGAAGATGTCCTGCAGCTCCTGAGAAGTTTCGCCAAGTGGGAAACCACATGGATACCGCGTTCTTTGAACAGCGCAGCTCATAGCTTTGCTAGGAATGCTTGTACTGCCTTGGATGACTATATGTGGAATCTTTCACCCCCGTCTTTTGTATTATCTGCACTACAGGCGGACCTCATTCCATCTTAATAAAAACTTTTACACTCCTCTATCAAAAAAAAAAAAGCTTTCTATTTAGTATTTATCATTTTGTTCTTTACTTTTTGGTTTTGTAATTTGCTAGAACATGAAGTTATGAATATTGCTATTGTCATTGTCTTTTTCGTATGACTTGCTGTTATGATTTGCTTGATATTGATGGCTAATTATGCAAGACTGTTATGATTTGCTTGATATTGATGGTTAATTATGCAGGAATGGCTCGTAAAGCTCGAAAACATTATCAAGCTTCAAATGGATTGAGAGATGAACTAATTCAACAACCTCCATCAAGACATGAAATGGTGTAGTAGTCTTTACTTGATACAAGGCATGAAGCATTGCAACAATCTCAAATTCAACAGCATCAAGTTGAAAGTTCACATGAACAGGTTCAACAATCTCCAATTCAGCATTGTTCGACTGGAATAAGGAATGAACCAACTTAGAAATTTCAGAATATACCAATACAAGATGGTACAGATCCAAATTACAATGAATTCAACTTCATCCAGCAAAGTGACATCGCAGGTATTAGCTAACTATTTTATCTAAAAATTTTCATCTCATAAATTAGTCCTATTTTTACAAATAATGTTGGGGAAGATAAAATTATATGTACAAAACAAGGCACTAGCCTGAATTGCATTTTTAAGTTGACTATAAGCATATTTATTTTTATATTGTACTACAAGGTAATACACATGATTCAAGTGCTGCACCAAAACAAACTCAAGACCCTACCCTACATATATGAAAGAAATTTGGGGTGGTCTAAGGACCTTCCATGGATTAAGATTGAATTTAATGACAAAGGGTTGCCAATAAGTAAGAAAACTAAGTTTTCTGAATTTTTGGGTAGTCTTGCTAGAAATGGTATGTATTATCCAGTAGATGTTGAAAGTTGGCCCAAGGTGGCAAGAAAACCTAAAATGGACATGTTAGATGTGATAAAGGTAATGAGCAGTTTTTGTAAAATATATTTTTGTCAAAATTCTATTGTATTGTGCATATTTTTTTTATTTTGAGTATGTTTCAGGAAAGGTTTAATTTACTTCATGGACTGGAAGCTTGGACCTTAAGGTCTATTGGCAAAAAATGGAGAAGCTAGAAGTCAGACTTTAAGGCAATATATTTTGATCCTAATTTGCCAATTTATGAAGTGAAGTTTCATAAAGATGTAAGGGTTCGGGACGAGCAATGGATAAACGTATGGACTTATTGGAAAAGTGAATGTGCAAAGGTGCAATCAACTGCAACATTCTTAATAAAGTTGAATTTATTCAATTGCAATATCTTGGTTATGATTTTCAATTTCAAAAAGTAAGTGAGAGGAACAAGAAAGCTAGAGAGGAGAAGAAGATGAACCACACAACGGGAAAGAAATCATTTGCTCAGATTCGAAATAAATGATGATATCCTTAATGTTTTAATAGCTAAATATTTTTTGTTCAATAGCTAAATCTGTAATTGAAAAATAAATTTGCTTATAGGCCAAAGAGTTGGGATGTCCTCCTACTAGAGTAGAAATTTTGATAGATTCTATACCCATGCTGATGGAACTCCATCAAATAACATAGTTGCTGAGAATTTGGTAAGAATCCATGAAAAGTAACACAAATGTTTGAATTGCGTTATTGTTCTCATTATAATTGTAGTAACAAGTGTTTTGCTTTCTTCTGTAGCACAAATGAATTGAAAAATCAACTTCCACCAGATTCACAAGATCTAGTTGGTCGAATTGATATATTTGCCCAAGTAGTTGGGCAAGACAAAACATGGTCATGTTCACTTGTTTGGTGAAGGTGTCAATTCGACGGATTTATGGGGAGACATCCCTAGTGGCAGCATGTGCCACCGTATAGCTGTTGAGCAACAGTCAACATTATCAAGAATGGAGGAAAGACTTTAGTGACAAGATAAGGAAATTGGCAATTTCAAGAGGTTGGTTTTAGTGTAATAAGGAGGTCGCAGTACACCAGATAGCCCTAGATATCCTTCGTCATCGTTTAACAATATTTCAAACTATACTCCAGTGCGACCTCTTTGAGTAAGTGTCTAAAACTGCTAAATTTTTAGGTGGTGAATCTAAAATTAGGCTAACAAAGAGGAAAATATGAAAATAAATGAAAATTATAGAAAGTTAATTTCAGTAGCTGAATTATTGAAAAAAATGGATGCCTTGTTTTCAGTCTTACAATATTTCTTTAGAATTTTTCTTTGTTTACTCTTCAGTTTTTCAAGTGGACATGGTCAAAATTTCAGCATGACTTTGATTCTTCTATTTACTGGCTCTTTTAATAGGTAGAAAATATGGTTTCGCTCAAAAGTTTGTTTGATCAAACAAAAATTGTGGTAAAGGGATATTTAAGTAGTATGAATCCGTTGGATGAAGCCGGGAGATAAGTTGTTGGATCAAATTGGTATGAGATACATGTATAAGTTGCTGTGAATCCAAATGAGCAATTGATTAGATCCCACGATTTGCGACAAACAATTCAAGATGTACTTGGAGCACCAATTGCTTGGCCTGGTAATTTGGTACTATATCTAAATATTATACTCATAGGTTTTTTTGGTATTTTATTGCTATATGTCACTTCATTGTAATGAGTTATCTAACCTTTATGTTAAGATCAAGTTAAGTGAGATTTTTGTATGCAATTTGTTGTGGTACATGTGATTCTTTTGGGCTGATTATTAATGAATAATAGTATATATTAATTTGTGGATTGTTAGGAGGGATGAATTTCCTATATTTGTACTAATTTGGTATTTCATTCTTGAGGATTGCAAGTTTCACGGTTTCATTTCGACAAAGTGTTGCTTATTTGGTTCTGCTGGTTGTAATATCCTCAAGCTGTGCAACATCTGTTGCTACATTTCAACCTATTGCTAAAGCTAGACTATTTTTTGTTGGGTCTATTTCTTATACCAATTATCTTTGTGCACAGGTGATAGCAACTGAAGATTGATAGTGATGTCTATCACCCTCTTGGCGATGAATAAAGCCTCCAATTTGGTTGGAAGCTTTGAAGCTTGCACAAGTTCTTTCAACTTTTGCAACCTGAAAAATCTTTTGTTTTAATTTTATGCTTGTGGCAGCATTGTTTGCTATTGTTATAGAATTTCGAACAACTTTTCTGATTAATTTGCTATGCTAGTATTGATTAATGACTTTTATTCTAAGAAATGGTATTGGAGCAATTGGATTTGCTTTTAAAAAATTAGATCATTTTATAGTTTCATAATTTTTTATTCATATATAGCTGATTGCAGATTGTATAACAGGGAGTACTAGTAGGTTGTTTCATCCTTTGAAAAAAAAAATAATCTCTTAACAGGTTAAAGTGTCAGCATAGTTGAATGTGCAAAGACCAAAACTATGTCTATTGAGACGTTAGGGTGTTATCTAAAGCCTCCTTTTTTATGGCATATCTAAATGTCTTTAAAAGTTATATGACAAGGCATCTTAAAGTGCCTTCACAGAAAATTAAACTTCTAACGTTTTGGAGTTACCCTGACATTAGGGATTGGCAAGAAAAGCGCCTTTTTTTTTTTGGCAATTATATTGCCTCATTAAATGAGTTTTCGTAACACTTTTAAATGCCATAGAACTATCCCCACATCAGAAGGGACGACACCTACCTAAGTTGTGAGGAAAGGTAAAGTGTCAACTTATATTATCTACACTGACACTTTCAAATGTCCTTGAAGACCTTTTTTGTTGTAGTGATAGAAAATTCAAAAGGAAAACTATGTGTTGAAGTGGTATTAAAGTTAGATTTTGGGTTTTTCTATCCATTCAAAAATCAAAAGGAAAACTATGTGATGATTTTGATATTTTTAGTTTACTAAACTTTTTTATTTGTGTATTGCATGTTTGCAAAATATATATATATATATATATATATATATATATATATATATAGTAGCAGCTATTACTTTGGTTCTGCTAATAAATACGGAGAAATATTTTTAAAAGATTAAAGTAGATTTTAGACTTAATTTCATGTTGAATATTAGTTAAAAGTTCAAAAGATTGATTTATATAGTTATTTGTTGATATTATATATGAAAAATTATGGCAAAATAGAAGTTTATTTTGAACCATCCACTGGGCACCCTGATTGGGTAGTGGGTTGGGGGCAGGGATAGAAGAAGTTGGGATAGCTTAGGGTAGGGGGAAATTTTTAGAGCACAGAAGGGGAGACGGGAGAGGGTTCTCTAATTCCAAATCCATCTCGTTGTCATTTCTATCCACCAACTCTTTAAAACCTAGAAATTTTAGTTTTCCCTCATGTAAGGTTTGAAGTAAATGTTAACTTCTATTTCCAAAAAAAAATTCTATAAAATTAAATTATATATATATATATATATACTATTTTTCGATCAAAGTATTCCCTCCGTTCCACTTTGATAGCTCTATTTTCCTTTTTCGTCTGTCCCAAATTATAGTCCACTTTTCAATTGAATAATGTAGTTATCTTTCAATTTCTCTAAAATACCCTTATTCAATGTAGATTGTTATTAGTATAAACTACTTCATTTAATATAGATTGTTAACTTGCCCCATTTAATACATTTAGATTTTTCAAAACATATTGATATATGAAAAGCCAGCTTTGTTAAAAGCCAAAATTTGAAATAATGTAAAATGAGGATTGATCCTTTCTTGATCATCAATTCAAGTACCCATAAACAGGCCAAAAATCTTCATTTAACGACTATTTACTCATTTTCTAGCCAAATTCTTACAGTCAATACCAGCTATTAAATATGAGTAAAATCCATTCAATAATATAATATTTGGCAAATATCGAGGAGAAATATTCACAAATTTAACAGCATTTATGCAACCTATCATTGAACACAATATTATGAACTTAAAGGAAGAATTATTATCAACTAAAACTATTTGTTTTCAAAGTTTCATCTATATTCAATCTTTTATTTTTAATTTTTAATTTTTTCTCTTTTTCCTGGAAATGTTTGTAGTAATTACAATGGCATAGAATATTAGGTTATTTTCCAAATTTACTGATACATACACACACATGGAATATTACATGAGTATAGGTAGGGTCTAATTTGGATTTGAATTTGGATCTAAATCTTAGAAAATCAGACTTTATCCAAATCCATGACTCTTTTACAGTATTTGGGTTTGGTTAGGGTTTGAGTTTAATAAATTAAACCTAAACCCTACTCATATATACTGGGTTTGGATTGGATTTAGGTAAAATTCGATCCATTGACATACTTAGTTTGGTATCATAGGCTATCCTTAAAACAGTGCAATTAGGTGAAATTAATTGGAATAGCGCATTTTTAATTAGGTAAGACATCATTGTCAGCTTATAATCTAGTTCTGTATCGAACTTCTTTTATAATCCAAATCAAGAACGTTACATTTCGATTAATAATAAACAATGTTGATTAATAAGACATACGGTGGCATGAATAATTGGAGAGTGGACCTATTTTTTTAATTATCTAAGACATCATTGTCAGCCTATAATCTAGTTCCGCATAGAACTTCTTCCTGGTTTCATCACTCAAAGCTGGAAATGGCATCACTCAAACCTGGTTTCCTGGTTTCATCAAATTCCTACTTGACTTCCATGTAGCAAGGCCAGGATAATTTCAATAAATATTTGAGGAAAATCTATAATTTGGATAACATCATGAAGTGCAGGTGATGAACCATTTTCGAAGACAGCTACAGACCCTTAATCGTAAGTCAATTTTAAAATTTCGAAGCGATAAAACTTGTGCTTTTTTTTGAATTGGATCAAGGTGGAGGTAATTATCAATGGGTCTACAAATCAACGTAATTTGTAGGCCCAAGAGATTTGACAAGGTTTAATTTGTACTATATGGTACCATAGGTTACCTTTGAAAAACTGCATTTACGTGAAATTAATTATAATAGCAGCTCTTTAGGTGAGACATCATTGTTAAGCCTAGAATTAGTTCCGTATAGAACTTATATTTTATATTATCCAAACCTAGCACCTTGCATTTCGACTAATAATAAACAATGTTGGATTAATGAAACATCTTGTGCGAAAAAATATATATATTCTGAACTAGGGATTCAGTGGATAGATACAATAATTAGAACTTTGAAGTTGAAAAGAACCACAATCATGGATCCCAAGACAAGAAAGCTTGGGGGGTCTCTGAAAGTTCCTTTTGTCCAAGAGTTGGCTAAGGAAAATCCCTCTTCTGTTCCAACTCGTTACATACACCCCGACAAAGACCAATATCCAACCATCTCTAACGGTGGTTCTTTCCACCAAATACCAGTTATGGATATGCAAAGCTTGTTTAGTTCTGCTGAGGAGGCAAGTGATTTGGAGCTTCAGAAGCTGCATTCTGCTTGCAAGGAGTGCGGTTTTTTCCAGGTATATATACAAGGATTGAATGTATGACAAACATATATATTTGTGTGACAAGCTATTGTATATTTGAAATAGTTTGATTATACAACTTTTTTACAAAACTAAATTATCAAGTGTTGTTATTTCGATGTTTGAACCGTCGATTTGGTGTAAGGTTTGAACCCTAACCAATATCCTAGAAAGGAACTTTAAATTCTCCTTGGTGGCCACTAGACCAAGACTCTATGGTTACCTATTTCAAGGTTTGAGACCATCCCACATTTTTTTTTGTTCCAAAAAAAAAAAAGAAACCATCTTGAAATGAAATCAAAGTCCTATGAAAAATGAATCCGTTGAATGACTTAATCATCTTTTACCTGAATTTTACGAGTGCAAATCAGTTGAAAGGATACATTTGTTTATGTGCTGTTCCATCCAGACGCTATTACTTATGAGAATAACTGTCAGTAGCTCATTAATCATGGAGTTAGCTCTTCATTGGTGGAGAAATTGAAATCAGAAGTTCAAGATTTTTTCAATCTGCCGATGGCTGAAAAGAACAAATATGGTCAAGAACCAGGAGATGTAGAAGGATATGGGCAGGCCTTTGTCAAATCAGAGGAGCAAAAGCTTGACTGGGCTGACATGTTATACATGATAACTCAACCAGAAGATTTGAAAAGACCTCATTTGTTCCCTAAGCTGCCTCTTTCTCTAAGGTATATTTGACCAACCATGTACAACACACACAAAACGGGGAATTTAAATCAAGTGTTCTATCTTTAGTCTTGTAATTCTTTAACCATGCAGTTTTAGGATAAAAACTGTTTTTGACATGAACTAACATACGTAGTATGCTAAAATTTTAGCCAAACTGTACTACTAGTTACTGAACTTTCTTGAATGAAAAACAAAAAGTGGATGGCCGAAAAGAGACATTCATGAAAATTTAATGGCCACTGATGCACTTTGCCAGATGGTTTTGATTGAAGCAATTCAATGATACCATTTAATTTAACGTTTTCACGTCTATCTAAATTTGAACGCTAATGCATCAGATAGGTGAGATTTTTTAGTAGGTAAAGTTGATTTTTCTATAAAATTATCTACTGAGAAAGATAGAATAGAAGAATATGTTGATGTGATAATTTTTAAAGTTAACATTTCAGATTTATGTTTAGGGAAGTATAAAGATCCAGAAATGGCTGAATACATGATGACGAAAGGTCAAGCAAAAAAATAAGCTGAAATGCCAATGAGAAATTAATTACCCTGCCGCCCTCCATCCACTATCTTCCAAACCAAATAAAAAGAGAGAAATATATTTAGAACAACAATATGAATAATTCAAAACATTAAATTATTGTACATATGCTAGTAAGTCCACTAAGGCTTAAGAAGCTTGCTTTTTCACTTTTTGTGAGATTGAGAAAAATAATGACCTGCCAAGAATTTCCGTTTGTGTTTTGATCAAAGATGATTTTTTTTAATAAAATATCAAATTTTCATTAAAGTTTACACTAATGGTAGAAATTATATCATCAAATATATACATATATCAAATAACATATCTGAAGAAAGGATACTACAGATATGAAGAACAATAAAAATTACATTATAAAGCTCCAAATTTAAAAAATAAGATAAAATAATTGTAGCTCCATGGATATCTATGCCTGCTTGTAACCGTCAAATCTGCTTATTAACGGCTTCAATTCCATATATTATAGTGAGATCTACCGAATAGATCTAAGAAATTCCAGATCTAATAATCAAAATCTGAAAAACTCAAATGTAATACTCCCTCCGTCCCAAAATAAGGGACGTTTTTGGGGATTCTAACTTATTATGCACAGTTCAATCAATTTGAATGTGAGACATTTTTTTCCAATCGTGCCCCTTTGACCGATATCAAATCTTAATTGCTGTCTATGGTGATGTGAAAAGAATCTGTGGGTCCATGTAAAATGTAAGCTCTTTTTCATGCTGTTGCCAAGCACGCGCCTATTTATGGCCATCAAAATTTTTGGTGCTGTCCACGCACCTTTTTTTTGGATGTCTATTTATTGCTTTTGTGGGTTCCATCATACTTGTTTTTTATTTTATCAATGTCTCTTTTGAGGCTACAAATGGAATGTTAGAGAAAAAAATTGTAGTGTGACTCAAATTTTGGGACATGAAAAAAGGTGAACTATGACAATAACAATGGGACGGAGGGAGTAAAAGAAAAATGAAAAAATTATCAAAAACTCTCACTAGGAATCCTTAAGAGAGAATAAAACTCCACTAAAAAATTTAGGAGAAAAGAAAACTCTCACTAGACAACTCTAAGGAGAGAAAATGACAGGTGTCGAGTCGTGCAATAATAATTACCTACTCAAGAAAAATACAAATTTTGTATATAGCGGTGAGTATGGTCGAATCCACAAGGATTGGGGATAATTCGTTTCTTCCAGAGTTCGAAATGTGGGGGATTTTTGGAGAATATAAAATAATTAATTAACTAATTAATGAAACAACTAATAGAAATAAACAAGAATTAATCAATAACCAATAAGACTCTAGCCAAAGGTGCAACTTTTCAGACACGATTCATTCAACTGATCATCAATGCAAAAATAATTCAATTACTCATTAATAGATTGATTATAGTTATCATACACACGATAAACAACTAACATTTCCTTACTTTTTCGATAGCCAAGGTACGACCGTTAACTATTTTTCTAACAAAAAAATAATCCTAGGTACGACTGTAGGATTTAATTTCTAGATTGCATTAAGAATTAGAAAAGCCCAACCCTAACTAACAAACACACTATGAGGGTTTATTTAAATTAGATCATGCATTTCTCTAACAAATAAGTAAAATAATTCGATCTCACAGATATTTGGAACCAAGTCTTCAAGTTGACCTTCAACTAGATGAGGAACTTAACCACGCCTAATAGAGAAATTTTCACGCGAATTAGTATAATTCATGAATATCAAACTTTGTTCTTAAAACAATCTAATATGTTTCATGCAAGAAGAGTAAAGGCACGAAGAAGGAATTATCTCCTGTCTTGCGGCCTTGAGACGAAGACGAATAGTAGAAGAATCTCCCTAATCTAAACAATGACTAGTCCCTCATCTCATTGGTTTTTCTACCGAATAAGGAAAACAAAGAGATAAGGCAACTACTGAAGTTTCCTTCTTTCTTGTTTCCTAATGCTAGTAAACTACTAGCCACGAAAGGAAAGGCAATAGTTTAGCACATCTTGGAGCGGGATTTGCAAGGATTCTCAAGGCTTCCCACGTACACGGCATTTTCTCAAGAAAGTCACCATTTTTAGTACTTTTCTGCTCCACTTCCTGTAATTGGGTTCAAATACCAAACATAAGTATATTTCAACAATTAAAACAATATTTGGCAAGGACAAAGAAGAAAATTAACCATAAAATTAATAACAAATTATGCCCTATCAATTCCTCCCACACCTAAACCATGTTTGTCCTCAAATATGAGAACAACAAATCAAACAATCAAATTCAATCAATGGTTATTGATCAAATCTTCTATTGCCAAGATACAATTAAAACATATGTCAAGCATTAGTGATTAAGTTTCAAGAAATTTCTCTCCGGTTATCTTTCAAAATCAAAGACTTTTCCAATTTTTGACTAATTAATCAAAGAAATATAAAATATTCAACTAACATTCGTAAGCAAATGGTTAGACTATTAAGCAAAATCTCAACATTAAAATTCATGAATCAGCGGGCTAACAATTTATTCAAACACTTCCACTTTTTTCGCTATTAACACATTTTTTTTCTAAAATATCCCTACACTTGATTGAATTTTTTTTTTAGGGGAAATGCTTAGTCTTTAGCCATTTAAGCGTTTTGATGCGGACTCCAACATTAGCCAAATGAAGGAACTCAGTTACTCAGCCATCATCGCTTAAAAACCATATACTCATAGCTATCGTCGCTTTTTAACACGAAAATCGACACTTATGGTGAAGACCTCCGGTTACTAGGCAACGATTGTGAGAACCCTGAAAATATATATACAAATAACATTGCATATTTCATTTGCATTTCTAATTCTCTAATAAATTTTAGCATTACTTTCACTTGTTTGTAAATAAGTGCGTAAAAAACAATTTTCATGTGAAAAATAATATAATTTCTCTAAGTTACGAAATTCCTTTTGTTTTGCTAAACTAAATTAATACCTTTAGAGTTAGAATAATTTTAGCACCCCAACATAAAATATTAAAGTACTTAGTTTCCATTATGTTAAATTAATACTACCTGAGTAGATTAATTATATAAAATTTCTTGAATTCCAATAATTAATCCTGATTAGTGAATAACGTTAAATTTATATATTAAGGTCAAACTTGATTTTAATAGTTTAAATAATTAGGTAATAATGTTAGAAATTACTAGGAACCTTAATATTCAAGTTTAATCGATAATTATTCGATAAAAATGGTTTAAGTATATTAGGGTATAATTAGGCGTTTAAATCACACTTGGGAATAATTTTTAGAATTAAGTTGAGGTTAGGGAGCAAAGTGAGAAGACTAAAATGCCCTTACAATTCCATGCAAACCAAACCAATCCTCTGACCGCAAATTCAATTACCGCAACTATCACCAATTCTATACGCAATCGATTCTAATACACGAAACCTCTGCTCCTAAAACCGCGGCACCTTATACCATTACCTCCATTTCACATCTTAAACCACGGCACCACAATACTTCTTAATATCACTCAATCCTTTCTCATATCACTTACCGCAAACCATATACCTCTCTTTCCATTTCATATCTCAAACCGCCATTCCATTTCTCTGAACCAATTCACCTCAGACCGCAACACCATTTCATTTCCTCTCAACCTCGTAACCATCGACGAAGAGTGAGAGAGGAACCGAGAAACTACAACATTCTGCTCCTATCCGTAAGCTTGAGGGAAGAAAAGGAGAAGTCGTGCGTGAGTTCATTCTTCAACCTCCATTTCAATCAGCTGCAATCCACCTCCAACAGCAACCTTTCAGCTATCACCGTCACGAGTAAAAACCAGAACCAATTTCCAGGCCGCGAGCTAGTCGAAAAAATTTTTGACAGATCGTTTGTCGCGTGCGCTGAGTGTTTCACCGAGGTAATTCCTGAACTGGAATGAGTTGTTAAAGGGTAGATTAAGTCAGTAATTGCCATGCATGTGAAGCTTAGGCGACAGGATGATGATTTTGGAAAAGAAAATCTGTTATGCGAAAGAATAATTTCTGCCGAGAACTTGTCTTGAAAAATGCAGTTTTATTTGGTTTAATTTTGTTGCTATAAACTTATAGCTATGTTTAACTAAGTGGAAATGAGATGATTAAGTCATGCATGTCTCGGTTGTGTGTTCGGATGATGAACTTAGAAGCTTGAGAAAATCTGTTTTGGGGAAATTGGAATTGCCGAGAGCTGGAGAGTGGAAATGCAGTTCAATCTAATTAAATGTGATAATCTGAGTTGATAGTTGCGATTAACTAGCTAATAACAGGATAATTAGGTTCTGCAAGAGGTTAACTAGCTCGGCTAACCAAGAAAATGAAATGAAAACAGAAATTTGCTTCATGCATGTTCGTCCAAGCCAAGCAGGAATAATTTCTGGGAAATTTTGATATCAATGGTTGCTATTCGAACCTTATTTGGTACTAGAAACATTGATTGGCTAGCTAAGTGTCTGCATAATGCGTTTGAGTACTTAAATCAATATTTTAGCCGAGGAAATATTGGTTTTATGAACACTGAAGTGCTGGAAAAATTTTGACGTCCAAGAAGGTTGAGCTGGAATTTTCAATTGGTTTCTGGAATTTTTTCTTGGAATATAATGGTCTAGAAATGCATGGAAAATATGTGTTTTATGCGGTGTAAGTTGTTCAGCTACGAAGCATTTAATTTATTGGCAAAGATTGGCCAAAAATGTTGACCTATAGCTGCTGGAAACTCTATTTAGTCAATGACAGATTTATTGAGGTGGAATTATTCGCCAAAATTACAGGTTATTTGTTTTATTTCATGTTGGAAAATTTTAATGGTGGGCTCTATGAACTCCCACCCTTGGATTGATGGCTGATAAAATGATTGATGATGGATATAATGCTAGTTTAGTGTCTAAATAAATAGATTAATGATACCTAGCTACTCTAGACTTCAAGGGATGCATAGTTCAAAAATGTTCAGTTTTGCCCTGTTTTAATCACACCCCTTTTTGTAGAATTTTGAGGGTTTCATGATTCGTATATTATGTTTATATGTTGAATATGTGGTGTACAAAGTTTCATTGAAAAATATTGAGATTTGGTTGGTCAAATAAAATGATTTCACAAAGCTAGTAAATCTGGAACTGTTTCCGTAATACTCTGACCAGCTTTCGTATTTCGGCTATAATTCTGTGCTCCGATGTCAAAATTAAGTGCCGTCAGCGGCATTTGAAACTAGACATTCCAACCTTTCCGACGGTATAAAATGTACATTCTGGTTCCATGTGTGTGAGCCGAACCAACCATTTTAAGTCGGCTGTCCTGTTTCTCTGTTTTACAAGAACAAAATGATGAGGCTGCAACTTGTGGCTCGAATTCGAGCTAGTTGTGTGCCGAATTTCAAAGTGATTTCTTCTGTGAAATTATAGCTCTATGAATGTGTTTTCCAACGCCATAAACCATGCCAAATTCCTAGTTAATTTGAGTGATCTATGATCAAAATAGGAAACCTGCTCTGTCCTTAAAAACCCTGATTTTTAGACAGATTTGATGCAAGGCTCGGTATAGACTTGCAAATTAAAACTCTTGGTGTTAATCACCACAAATGTTGTTCTGGGATGACCCTTAAACCTTTTCTATGCAAATGAACCATGTTTAGAGGATTTTCCTTGGTCCAAAGTTTAAAAAAGGAAATTTTCATATACAAGGCAGCTTTGCCTTAAAAATTTTGGAAACTTGAGTGATTTTGTTAAGTGACTTTCCGTGCATATTTTCCTATGAAATTTGGTAGAGGGACAACCCTTATATAGTAGTATTATACTGCTAATTTTGGTGTTATTCTGAGACCATTTCATGGGTCAAATAAATTACCAAAATTCATGACTCGAGCTTGAAAAAAACCCACGTTTCACAGGGGAATCTTGGTAACTTTGAGTTGCCATATCTTAATATTCAAAACTCCGTTTCTCGTTCCGTTTGTTTTACTGTACACTTGGATTACGACTCTAAAAGAGTACCAAATTTCAAAAGCTAGTTCCAAACAAGTGAATTTTGCCGAACTTCCAAAGTTGGCCAAAAACCAACTTAAATCTGTTTTGGTAATTCAAGTTACCAACTTTGAGTCGAAAATTTGAGTGCCTTTCACTTACACTCGTGGAAAAGTGTCTTCTAGGAACGTTTAGTACTCTGGAAGTAGTTTCTAATGGTACCAAGTTTTTCAATTTTGGACCTACTGAGTGCAAGACCTGATTTTTCTAAGTTTGACGTGCAAAGCTGAAATTTGCCGATTTCTTAGAAAATGAAATTTTGAAAACCCGTTATTCCTTCTTGATGATAATTGGTCATTTTAAACTTGATTCCATGAAGGAAATTATTTTTTCCTTGTGTTAATAAAACCTCACTTTTGAACCTTTATTTTTAGTGGCTAAGGTTCTTGATTTGAGGTAGTGACAAGTCTAGATGAGTGTAACTCCTTCCTTGATTAATGCGTGATTATGAGCGAAAAATACTTGTCAATTGCTTCAGGTGCTCAAGCTAGTCTTGAAGAGAATCCCGGAGAGGACAACTAACGATTCTCTCGCTCAATTACTCTTGAATTGTGAGTGTCAAGTGCATGACTTGTCGTGTTTACTTGATTTACCTGCTTATATACGTGAATATCACTTGATGGGACGAGTGTGTACTTTATCGCACTCGCTCTCCTTTACTTGAACTTTACTTGTATTAACTTGGTTTTCGAAGTCGATTTGAGTGAACCTCGTCGGCTAAAATATACCCGTTTTCGTGTACATGTCGTGTTGTCGTGCGTGTTGTGTTTGCCGTGCGTGACGTGTTGTCGGGTGGAGTGAAACTCCTCGACTTATGGGGACGCCCAAATTCTCTTAGCCAATCTTGCAACTCGAGCCGGCATGGGCTTGGTCGAGAAGCTTGATAAGCCAAGGGAACAACAAAACATAACTTGATCTTTTGAGATCTTGTTCGGCATACTCGTGGAGTATCGCCCTTTTCGTGCGTGTTCAAAAATCGAAACTTGATCTCTTGAGGTCTCGTTCGGCATACTCAACGAGTATCGCCCTTTTCGTGCGTGTTTGGTTACGGATCCGAGAGGGTGGAACGTTGGCCGGAGGAAGTAATAAGTGAAGTTTCTACGGATATAATACCCACCCGGATGACGGAGGGTCATTGTGAGGGGGTATTGGATCGAGCCGTGGTGAAGCAAGTGGAAAATAGCTCCTGAGAGCTCCTATATCCTTGAATTGTTTCTGTTTACTTGCCTCGCTTGAATTGTAAATTACTTGAACCTTATTGTTCTACTTGAACAACGTGCGTGCATGTGTGTTTTCTTGGCCTCACGAGCGATTGGCTCACCGTGTATATTTGTTTTCCTTGACAGGTTCTGGAAATTGAGAGCTTTACAATTTACTTAGATTTTCTTATGGATGTAAATGAAATCTATGACTTCGCTTGGTGGTTTGTAATGTCTAATGTTACTTATGCCATGTATCGGATTGGAAATATGTTAAGCTAGGTGTACTTAAGACTTTAGATTGCCACTTGAAGCTGGAAAGGTGCAATCCCTGATTCATACATTCGGTTTGTATGTACGTATTGGTGTTGTATGAACTTGTATGTTTGGGATGGTGTGACTTTAGACTTGGTTTGTAATCGAGAAGGTATTTTGAGAATCGACGATTGGTTATCTTTTAGTACTGCTATCTCTGAAGTTAATGTGGTTTAGTAATCGATCTATTTAGGAAGAAATGAGGGTGTAATAGTCTAGATTATACTTCGGAGGGTTGTGGCTAGATTTCTTGCGTGAGTCCTGGCGAGAGCTGGGCAGGCGTTCCACGGATACCCCTTGGTTCGCCTTGGGGAGAAGTGGGGCCGTCACAACGATACTAGCGGAGTATAGCAAAAAATGATTCAAATAAGCATCAAAAATAAAATTAAAGATCACACAAGCCCACTTCATTTCTTAAATATGGAGAACTAAGATTAATAGTTGAACCAATTTGAATAAAAATGCTAGACAAATATTTACAATACTTAGAAAAGTTAACCAAAAAGTGCAAAAGTCACAAAATCTCAAATATTCACCAAAGAGATATCCTTTAACTTAACAATGTCATACTTAACACCTTAGTGTATAAAATCTTAGCAATAGAAAAATTTGAAAAATCTAACCATCGTTTATCAGGAACACTCACAAGTATGCATAAAGATAGGCAAAAATTGAATAAAATTCGACAAAATCAAACAAAAAATTTCAACAAAAATGCTTACACTTGTACTTTTCCAATATATTATCAATATACTACTCCCCCCATACATAGATCTTACATTGTCCCTAATGTAAGAGATAAATAATAGAATACGAAACAAAAGGGACAATGAAACTTCCCTGATGACTGTAGGGGCCGTGGACAGCTACTGGTAAGGGAAAAATGATTGTGGAGCTTGACGTAAGTTGATGGTTGGCAGCGGTGGAATTCAAATGGAGAAGGATGGAAGAAAGAAAAAGAAAAGAGAAAGAAAACGGAAAAAGAAACGGAAAAGGAAGAGAAAAGAAAGGAATTTTTTTTTTAGAGCCACTGTGTTAGGCGTGGGCAAGCCAAGATAGGGAAAAGTAATCTGACCTGGGAGGCGCTTTTCGCAATTTAATGCGTGCCCTCCTTGCGTTGGCATACCATGATTGGGAAAAGTAATCTGATCCTAGTGTGACTTTTTTGCAAATTAACGCTTGCCCTCCTTGCATGGGCACGCCAAGATTCCTTGACTTGCTTGCATTGCGAACAATTGAGGTTTTATCAACATGGGGCACGCCATGTTTTGCAAAAGTCTCCTAACCATGGGGTTGAGGCTTGCAAGATTAACGCGTGCCCTCCTTGCTTGGGCACGCCAAGATTACCTGTCCTGGTCATAGTGGAGGAAAATATCAAGATCGACTAGTATCCAAGTGAGAAACGACCAATTTAAAGCAATGAACAACGAAAAAAATAAACAAACCAATATTTGAGTTGCCTCCCAAAAAGCGCCTTTCTTTAACGTCTTTGACTAGACATTGTCATGTTTGTTCAGGGAGGATAAAATCTTGTGACTCGTTTCAGTGCTTCATTCTCTACATAATCCTGATAGCTCTCGTAAATAGAGTAATCATTTAAAACATGAGCTACGGTCTTCCATGAACTAGTAGATAGCACCAAAAAATCAACAATAATCTGAATTCTCCATTCACTCCTCCATCATGCGCATTTATTGGTCCAAGATATTTTGGCATCGCCACTCTTAATTTATTCCTGTCATGAAATTCAAAATTTTCTAATATAATAAAGTCAATCTCACTAACAGAAATTGAAAAATAAGAGTCAGGAGAATATTGATTAAGGAATGGAGAAAATATCACCGCATTTGGAGATTGTTCACAGGATTCATTTACTTGAACGAGTTGATATTGGGGTTTCATTTCTTGCACTTCAACTTCCTTTTCAACTGCATCTTTAGATCCGTTTTCTTAAAACTGTTGCAGTTCTATGTCATTTGTCCGGATAATTGCACTCTCATCTTCTTCAAGGTCGATGTTAGGCTATGAGAGCAATTCTGACATCGATGATGGCTATTGCTGTTGATATTGATATTGAAAATTGATTGGGACTGGTGCATAATTAAAGTTGGAGTTGTCCCACCATCTTTGATCATACCCATTTGAATAAGGGTCATGCCACGTTCGAGATTGGGATGAAAAACCTCCAAACTTATTGAGATAGGCATTCAGGTAATCTTGATATTCAGAGCACATATTGGTTGAATGATCTGTAGCATAACAAATCTCATAAGTTGCAGCAGCCATTTTGTCTATAAGAAAGTTTAGTGAATCTGAAAATTGATCATCAGAAAAAACACAAGCTTCATTTCCTTTCGTAGGAATAAAATCCAGTCTATCACCAAAATACAAAATGTTAGCAGCCATAAACTAGTAAAAAAAATAAGAGAAAAAATAGAAATAAAAATAAAATGAACTCAAAAATAAACAAATTAATCAGGCACTAGCCCCCGGCAACGGTGCCAAAAATTGACAGGTGTCGAACCTGTGCAATAATAATTATCTACTCAAGATAAATACAAATTTTGTATACAGCGGTGAGTAGAGTCGAATCCACAGGGATTAGGGATAATTCGTTTTTTCCGGAGTCCGAAGTATGGGGGATTTTTGGAGAATATAAAATAACTAATTAACTAACTAATGAAACAACTAATAGAAATAAACAAGAATTAATCAATAGCCAATACGACCCTAGCTAAAGGTGCAACTTTTCAGACACGGTTCATTCAACTGATCATCGATGCAAAGATAATTCAATTACTCATTAATAAATTGGTTATAGTTGTCATACATGCAATAAACAACCAGTCTTTCCTTACATTTTCGATAGTCAAGGTACGACCGTTAATTATTTCTCTAACCAAAAAATAACTCTAGGTACGACTGTAAGATTTAATTTCTAGATTGCATTAAAAATGAAAAAAGCCTAACCCTAACTAACAAACACGCTACTAGGGTTTGTTTAAATTAGATCATGTGTTTCCCTAACATAGAACCAATCACGCTAGTCGCCACTGGTATTAATCAATTGAACAATTACGGATTCAATCAATCAATCTGACAGTAAATTATTAGGTTAATTTGAATATCGGGTCATTGACATTCAAATAACAAAACAATCATAAGAAGTTAAGCTAGAAAACGTACAAATACCAATGAATAAAAGAAATAAGTAAAATAATTTGATTTCACAGATATTTGGAACCGAGTCTTCAAGTTGACCTTCGACTAGATGAGGAACTTGGCCACGCCTCATAGAGAAATTTCCACGCGAATTAGTATAATTCATGAATATCAAACTTTGTTCTTAAAACAATCTAATATGTTTCACGCAAGAAGAGCAAAGGCACGAAGAAGGAATTATCTCCTGTGTTGTGGCCTCGGGACGAAGACGAATAATAGAAGAATCTCCCTAATCTAAACAATGACTAGTCCCTCATCTCGTTGGTTTTTCCACCGAATAAGGAAAACAAAGAGATAAGACAACTACTGAAGTTTCCTTCTTCCTTGTTTCCTAATGCTAGTAAACTGCTAGTCACGAAAGGAAAGACATTGGTTTAGCAATTCTGATAAAGCTTTTCTAATATTGTTTGATTTTTAATTGTAGTAATACTCTTTCATATTACAGCAATTATTTGAAAATTAAGTTTTTGGCATTTTGTAGTCTGATTCATGTCTCACAAGCTAGGACATATTTGTTAAAGGACACATCTAGGATCAGCTCATACTATGGTATTTCTAACTAAAACAAAATGTCAATATACAATCACTATATTTAGAGACGCTTTTGTAGGAAGGATCTACCCTTGAACCTGCTGTCATCATATTTAATTGAATAAAAAAATCCATATATTTCTGCAACTATGCAATTTGCAATTCCCCAGTTGCCACCAATGGCTCAAAATAGTTCATAGCCAATTGCTTTGGTATGAAACCAATTCTTGATAGAGGGAAATATCTCGAGAGAGCCCACCAAAGAGTTCAATATGGAAGTTAGGAACCCAACTTTGACTCAAAAGCTTAAGTCATTAGGTTTTGGGTCCTTACTTACATATTAACCACTCGTTCTTCATCTTTCGGGCCAATGTGAGATGTAATCTTTTTACTCATGAACCTAACACCTCTGATGTATACGATTCATTTAAGAAGCAAAACAGCTCCATGGATAATAATGTTAAATTGAAAATTCTATCCTAAAACCAATCCATTTATAGTTGCAGTGTAAAATTCCAAACGACATATTAATTGTATATATGTAGTTTGGGAAAATTCTCAAATTGGATGAAGATTCTCTACTATTGATAGAGTAATTGCAATTGATGGTTTAAATAGTTTTAGTACGAACGTTCGCTAGATGAGATTGATTTTGAGACACAATTTTTAATAAGTGGTAAAACTTGCTGTATTATTAGGTACGATATTATTATTTGTATTTTCAATGTCTTAATGGTTAAATATTTGTGTTAGTAGTACAATTGACACTGATATTTTGTGACAGGCTGTTCACTGATGTGCTCTCTTTAGGCTGATGGTTGTCTACTTTAATAATGAACAATCGCAACCTCATCTGCGTAGCAAAGTATGTGGACCCTATTTTGTAAGTCGTCAATTTTTGGACATGGACTAATCCAATTTTGATACAAATTGATAAAGGAATACATCACTCCAGAGACGTTCCGTGAAGACTTTTAGGTTACATTTTGTAGTGCAATTGACACTGATATTTTGTGACATGCTGGGCACTGATGTGCTCTCTTGAGGCTGATGTTGTCTACTTTAATAAAGTCATCAATTTTTGGAGATGGACTAATCCAATTTTGATACAAATTGATAAAGGAATACATCACTCCAGAGACGTTCCATGAATTGATATCAATTGCAACTTGGAGCTACGTGTATATATATATATATATATATATATAGGTATAGATTTACACAAACCACAAACATGGAATCTGGTATGATAAATTTTGGAAGCTCTCTAAAAGTACCCTATGTTCAGGAGTTGGCTAAGGAGAAATTTGCATCAGTTCCACCCCGATACATACGACCTGATCCAACCAAACTTCATGGGGTCTCCACAGAGGAAATCCCAGTAATTGACAT